ACGTATTTTTTATTTTGTCGTATAATAAAATTATACTTAGATAAAACGAATCAAAGTTTAGGAGTGGGGGCTAAAACGTCATTTCTACGTATAAAATGTACGTAGAAGTGACGTCACGCGATATTTCAAATCAATATATCGTCGAAAGTATTCGTTTTAGTAAAAAAATAAAAAATACGTGTCTAATGATTTAAAATAATCCACCAGACGGACATTAAAATAAAAATTAGTCATCTACCCTTGTACAGCGTGATAGTAGCTTAACACTAAAATACTACTGTACAGGATTACCTAATCCTAATGATTACTAGCTAATGTTATCCTACACCATCCTAGCTAATCTCGCTGACATGGCAGGTTCATGTGGGAACAACCCTATTATTCATAAAGTCAAACTCAATACAACTTAGTTCATTCAATATCAATATAAAGAGTAACCTCCCTGATATCAACTTGGTTGGGCAACTAGTTGCCCGCGATCGAGTCAACCCTATAGTTTGTTCTGGTTCGACTCTGGCTCGACGTGCAGGAGAAGGAACGGGATGGTTTTAAATCAGTAAGAATCTAACACTCCCTCCCGTCTCACTTAGGCGGAAGCAGAAACTAGATGGTTTACCCCCTTAAAAAAGAATAGTTCTGGTGTATCTGTAGACATTACGGTTGCGCGACAAATTGTACGACAAAACAACCATTTCCTAACCTGAAACTAACCAGTTTAATTAGATAATACGACTTATTTTCAAATACTCAAAGGCCACTCATTTTTAAGATAGATGCTCTCAAGAAGTTCTGTCACTACAAATACATTATAAAATGACAGATATAGAGGTAGAATATTTATGTACAACTTCAAATTCAGTAGTATTTCAGTATTCACGTAACTAGTTAACACTCGAGTAGTTTCAGACCATAATAGGGGCTCATAACCTACTCGAAACTAATCGAGTGTCCTCGAAAAGTGAAATAATGAGTAAGTCGTATTATTTAATTGATTTAGTATGTATGATGATAGTTATATTTTGGAAATAGTTAATATATTTAACTGAAACTCTGTTCTTAGGGTGATACAAGAGATCCAGCATGCCATATAACATGAACTCCAGTTCCCAAGGAAAGATCGGAAAACCGATTTTTGTAAAACCGTATTTTTTATGATACGATTTTTTCGATGTTACGGTGCAATGCAAGGAGAATGCATTATTTGATTGTATGTATATAGATGTATGTATAGGCCTGTTATATTGTGAAATGTAATCTGTTATTTCGTTAGTAAATAACTTTTTAAAAATCTTTGTTTCATTTTTACCTTAGATATCAATATCTTTAAGCCAAGGGGACTGTGGCGACACATGTCACACGTCAAACGACAGTTCACGCACATAGAAATGAAATTTGATGAAAACGAATCAACGGATGACGTCACAAAAATCCTATATGTAAAGTTTACATGCGAATTAACATGGACAGAAGCCCCGTCAGGCACAATCACCTCGCCTGATCGGAGGATCCTCCTTTTCCGATCTTATGCCGAAATACTGAAACGCTACTCAATTTTAAGTCGTGCTAAGTATAGTTCTGTCTCTACAAATTCTTTGTGATATGACAAAGACGGCACGATATTTAAGCATGACTTAAAATTGAGTAACGTTTCAGTATTCCGGCATTAGGGAACTATGAGGTACTCTGTTCCCTAAAGGACAAAATATGTCCCAAGGCATGTATCGGTGACGTGTCGAGCAAAGCCGGCCGATGTCGCCTGACAATAATATAAGGTGACAACGCGCAACTTATATCCACAGTGACGTTGATGTTGCTAGACATGTCGACCAAACCAAGAATGACTGCACGGTTGGTGCGGTGGTTGGGCCACCGGCTGCCGTGCAACGTGTCGCGGGTTCGATTCCCGCACGGAACAACTCTTTGTGTGATCCACAGTTTGTTGTTCCGGGTCTGGGTGTCATGTGTATGTGAACTTATCCTTCCTTACTATTATAAATGGGAAAGTGAGTTTGTTTGTTCCGGTTTCACGCCGTAACTTCTAAACCGATTGCTTTGAATTTTTGCAGACGTAAAGTTAGAAGTCCGGATTAAATAATAGGGTACTTTTTAACCCGGGAAAAATTGATATTCCCCAGGAAAAACAAAAGTATTGGTATAGATGGCGCTGTGTGTATTGGTATATAAGTCGCCGCTGGTAAAAGTTAGTAATAATATAAGGTGACAACGTCGCAACTGTGACGTTGATGTTACTAGACATGTCGACCAACCAAAGTACCGTCGGCAACGTCGCTCTACTTCACCAAACGTCGCTGATGACACGTATCTCAGGACATATGTCCTCTAGTGTCTCCTTGGTTTAAGGCAGTTTTCGTTCGCTGGACTGAGGGCCTAGTGCAGTTCCGTTTATTTATCGGATGAATCGATAAACGAGCAGACGGATCACCTCGATCGGTTTAACGAAATCGAAACGGGGTAACCGTTCGGCGTAACGTAAAATTAATTCAGGTTAATCAGAGCTTCTGATTGGGTTGAACGCACCAATCAAACACGAACTAGGCCCTCTGCTGTGTGATTCACAAATTGTGTCCTGAGTCTAGGTGTGACGTATATGTGAATTGGTATGTATGTAAACAACCCACGACACGGGAAAGATTCAGATTGGGGTCAGTAGGGCTCAGTAAGACTAGTTGAAAAGTTTTGAGAATTTTACGGTTAGAATGCCAAACTTTACAAAAAAATTTATTGGCTTTGTGCTTGGAGTAAGTTGTTATCCAGAGGCGGATTAAATCTAGAAAGTGGCCTAGGTAAGCATTTAATAGGCGCCTCTAATTATTTGGCGCCGCCGTCGCTCTTTGAGCACACGCGTCTTGCGGTACGGCGTCCCTCTGTAACCTGACGCCCTAGGCACTTGACCAGTGTGCTTTAATAATCCTTGTAACCCCCTACCATGTGGCGCTTATGACTGCATTATTATCGAGAACTGGGGTATGTTAATCTATACACTTGACACTTGACTGCACGGTTGGCGCGGTGGCTGGGCAACTGGCTGCCGCGCAACGTGTCGCGGGTTCGATTCCCGCACGGAACAACTCTTTGTGTGATCCACAGATTGCTGTTCCGGATCTGGGTGTCATGTGTATGTGAACTTGTATGTTTGTAAACGCACCCACAACACAGGAGAAAATCCTAGTGTGGGGCAACGTTTTTTTTTGAAAAAAAAGATACACCTAATACAGATAAATAGAATTGGAGTCTCTGTTCGTAGTATTGTAATTCACTCTTTTTTACTACATGCATGTATTCATACGATACCCACACCAAAAATTTTTTTTTAATTTCTCTGTTTGTAGGTCAGTACCTACAAGCCAGTGCTAATCTCTGAAATGCCTGGACCGATTTTGACGGGCATTTAACTGGCAGATAGCTGATGTACACACGGCCACACATCAATCTATACAAAACCAGTTTATCGTCGCATCATCTTTCCGCACATTTAACGTTCAGTTTATACTGGTTATGTAAAGATCGATGTGTAGCCATGTGTACTATACTCCGTCTGTTTAGGTAGTTAACTATTTGTAAACAAACCATAAAAAGAGTTCTTTATAGTTGACATTTCCATGATTCAAAATACTTCATAAGAAAATAAAATTGTTTCCGTTTTTACGACAGTTTTCTCTATTAAATGTTATGTTTCTGTTCCTTTTCACTTATTTCTTAGTAAATATTATATATATCTGCTTGAGGATATTAATTTAATAACATTTATTAAATAATATATTTCATTACAATAGACACCATAAAGAGCCTAAAATCCCAGGTATCCAAAACTTTTCTTTAAGAACGAAGCAAAATAATGTTGTCAAATTAAAGAGTACATATGTCGTAGGATAATTTGATACTTCGAATCTTCGCGGAAATCCTAGGGGTTTTGCGAAAACGCGGATAATTAGACATAGGCGAAAAATTATCAAATCTTACTGGACAAAGTCAGGATTTTTGCGAAAATACTCGTTACTATAGTAAGATTTGATGTGCTGAACACTGATTGGCTACAATTTTGCTTGCTGACTTCTAATTGGTTCCTAGTTTGCCGATGATTAACTTCAAGTATTGTATCATAGAGTTATGAAGGTTTAGAATAGGTGAGAAAGGAAAATCGTAGCCAATCAGTGTTGAGCACATCAAATCTTACTATAGTAACGAGTATTTTCGCAAAAATCCTGACTTTGTCCAGTAAGATTTGATAATTTTTCGCCTATGTCTAATTATCCGCGTTTTCGCAAAACCCCTAGGATTTCCGCGAAGATTCGAAGTATCAAATTATCCTACGACACATATAAGATGTAGCGCGACAATGAAAGTAGCGTGTATTACGTTTAGTCGGTTAATCAGGCGCCATTGACAGCTCTCTCGTCGATTGCGCTCGCGTTCTTATTTTGTTGAATTTATCTTGTTTCTTTGTTTTGTTTTCGTTATTAAGTTATTCAAGTTTAGGTTATTCATCGTTTGTAATTAATGTGTTCAAATATTTTGAAGAAACTTGGCCCAAAGACACATATCCGTACAAGAAAGAAATCCGTACATCAGATTCAGAATAGTTTCTATTTAAACATGATAATGAAATAGACCCATAGGCTAGGCTCTTGTACGATTTAGGCATTTGTAGTTGTATGTGTGTGTATGACAAATGAACGAGTTTAAAGTGAATTTGGTTAAAATTAAAACACGAGAAATATTTGAAGTAATAGTAGGTTAAGTATCTCTGTGTCACGTGGTTTTCTTTGTTTACCTTTAGTTAATTACCTAAACAGATGGACTATAGGTACGAAGTAACATAGGCTATTTCGGATTTCGGAAAATTGAAACAAAAAGGTTATATATAGGTCCTAAAACTCATATTCAACGCGGACGAAGGCGCGGGCAACAGCTATTGTTACATGTGTTTTGAACTTTTTGCTAAATAAAACACAAGGCTATAACACAATTTATTAGTTTATTTAATTGATAAAGAACTCATTAGAGCGTTGGTTCTGGTTATGGCGCCACTTGCACGCCCAGTTCCAGCAAGACATGCCAGCCCACGGCTCGTCCGTGTAGAATACCTGCCCGTTCTGGTACATCTGGAAATTAGAAGGAGACAATATTCAGTAACTGTGTATCTTTAAAGCATGAGATGGATTATTTTTTACAGAAGTACTTCTTTAGCTTATTTTTTGACCACTGTAACTCCTATAAGCACACATATCTGCAGATACTACCATGGAATCACCGGTATACTGAAGTCTGGCGCATCCCAGGGACCTGAATAACTGTCTTGGATCCCACAACGAAATAAATCAGAAGATATTATTGGAAGATAAAAAGAAAACCGAGAAGGAACGATTCGGAATTGAATCGTTTTTTTTTCTTTAATTTTACAATGCTTTCTTGCGTCTTCTGCTAAAAATTGGACATCAATAGCCCGTCACAGTCCACTGCTATGGCCCTCTTCTAGAAAATCTCCACAGGTAGGTAATTATTGTAGTATACCTATTGCAGTTTAAAATGTTCCCGTTATCAGAGATCATAAAATATCGGTTTTCAGATACCCGCGGCAAGATCAGTGGTGATGACAGACGTGCATGAGTTTTTCGACCCATCAGTCCACTACAGATGGGGTCCAGAAGGGTTGATGACCATGAGCCGCGGAAGACTTAACTGGTTGCCGGGGCTCCGACTTGAAGTAGGAGTAGGAACGGTAGGTGCTTTCAAGTGAGACTGACACTCCCTCCAGTCTCACCCAAACGGGAGGAGTCATTGAATGGTTTTACCCCCTTAAACTGTCAAACACCGCGAGGACACCGGTGACCGTAACCTATTCTTTAATTGTGTCTATAATGACGGTACTCAAAGGGTTTAATAATACATAAGATTGCGTGATGTAAAAAATAGTTAATGAATACTTACGAAGGACAAATCCGAGCTTTTATAAGTGACTCCGTCATAACCGAATCGGAAGACGAAATTCATTGCGAAAATGGAGAAGATGCATCGAACATCAGTTGTGGCTGGTATGAAGTAACGGTAGGGGCCGCAGAAGTAAGATATCTTGGGCTCATACTCCACGGACTCTGGGAACTCCTCGCGAGGGTTTATCCTAGTGAAAGGAAATGTGGTAGATGTCAATCAATCAGTGTAAAGTTCTTTAATTCGTGGTGCGTCAGTGAAAGTCTAAGCATTTATTTCAATTAAACCATAATTTGGTACTTATGAAACGTCAACAAATCTATATATATAAAAGAAAGTCGTGTTGTTGAGTTATAAGTGGTGTTAGTTACACCACGGCAGAATAGATTTGGCTAAAAATTGGTAGGGAGGTAGCTTAGAGCCAGGAGACCGACATAGGATACTTTTTAACCAATTCTTTTTTTTACTTTTTACCGAAAATCACGAACGGGGACGGGAAAAAATGGGATTTCGTGTACGAAGTCGCGGGCAGAAGGTAGTACAAAATAAATAATAGTCCGTCATTCAGTCCGTCAGTGAAGCTAGGTGCTTAGATTATTAGACTTTGGGTAATGTCTAATGCCAGTGATAGTTAATAAGTAGGTACTAGTCATCCATCCCCCATTACACAAATTATTTGATTGGCGCCGATTTCATACCTGTAGGCCTGCTGTCTCCTAGCGCGGTATAATCCCATGAAAAAACTAGATAGAACCTATGAATGTATGTCAAACTCTTACGTGAGTATTTCATTGGTCGAGTCGTTGTAAGCGCGATTGACATTTAGACTGACTGCACGGTGGCTAGGCCACCATCCGATTTCCGCACGGAACCACTCTTTGTGTGATCCACAGATTGTTGTTTCGGATCTGAGTGTGATGTGTATGTGAACTTGTATGTTTGTAAACGCACCCCCTCGACACAGGAGATAATCCTAGTGTGGGGTTTTCGACGTTTCTTTTTTTTTAAATAAAAAGGGTCTCAGGTACGATTTTTATGTCGGACAAAGGAAATTTAGGTTTCTGGACTTACAATTCCTATCGAGAATGTGATTCTTACTTGTAAATACATTGGGCATCGCTCCAGTTATCATCGGAGTGGCAATACAGACCCTGGCTCGGATCTTTGGCCTGGAACTGTTCAGCATGAGGTCCAACGTATGTGGTCTCCGAGTGTCGATGGTAGAAGCCGATGAAGGCAAATGCCCCTGTCCGAGAATAAGTCATATCAGACAAAATCGGACCTACTGACCTACTGACTACCACGCAACGTGTCGAGGTTTGATTCTCTCACGAAACAACTCATTACGTGGTCCACAAATGTCTAAGTAATTTTGTATATAAACGCACCCAAAACAGGATAAAATCCTATTATGTGGCAAAGTTAAAAACACGGTCCACTACTGCAGTTTTAGTTTTTTTTTTTTTTTAAATATTACATTTCTTATTCTCCACGGACTCTTGTCCGTGCCCTTGTCATTCCATTACATTTTCTTTTAATTTACAGTCAAAATTAATTGTTACAAAAATCTTACGTGCTACCACTATTAACCACATTTTTTTTTCACAAAGAAGGTTGTGTCTAATATCTATAGTATGCAGTTTTAGTTTGTACATTGGGCGGATTGGGCCCCAACGACATCCAGAGCGGTTAAAAGCGACCTAAGGCCTTAGTACGAGTTTCATTAACGTATAAAGTAAGAAAGAAAGAAAGAAAGAAAGAAAAATCATTTATTTGGCAATTACACGCACAGAAAACAAAGAATATAAAAAAATAAAAATACATCTACAGAATACATACAATACATACAGAATTTTGAATAAACAATAAAAAAAAAAATCTAATAAACAAAATAATAATATTAATTTTAATTTGCGCGTGCTAATGCCAAAAGGGCCTCCACCTCAGCATAAAGTTGGACGTTTGTGCCCAACGCTGGTTTTCAGGTGGCACCCTGCAGTGACTCACGGACGGCGGTGCCGCCCCTCAATGAAGACAAAAAATAAACATGCAGTTGTATAAATAATATAAATTTAGCTGAATATGTGTGTGTGTGTGTGTGTGTGTGTGTGAAAAATTGAGAATAGAATAACATATATAACCGATAGTACATGTATATACATACAAACAAAATGTAAAAAAGCAATTATAAGAGTTAGTCTCTTTTGACGTTTACTCTTTTTTTTTAATTAATAGGGGGTTATTTCACATTTTGATTGTCAAACAAAGACAGTTTTAGTGACAACTCTGCTGAGCTCTGATTCATTCCGACGCGTACCCACAAAGAAACAGCCGCCGGCCACAGGACACCAAACTCCAGCATAGTTTACGAGTGGCGAAATGATCACAATTAAAACACTCAACTTAATTACGAGAATTAAAATAATGGCGAGGTACATTAAAACAATGCTCACACGTTGAGCACCCAACCAACACGCAAAGACTTCCAAGTTGGCATATAAAAGTAAGTGTAATTTGAATAAATTGGAACAATAAACTGAAATTAGATAAAGGAATTGTCAATATTAATGTCGTTAAATTTAATTTGGGATGTCAAAATAAAAGTTTTTAATTTTAACCTAAACGTGTTTTTATTTTTCAGATTTCTAATTGGTGGTGGAATATTATTCCAGCACTTGGAAGCCGCGTAACGGAAGCTGCCTCGAAAAGCTGCAGTTCTATGCCGAGGAATAGCGAGCTGCTGAGCACACCGCCTACCCTCACGCTCCCGGTGACTGTTAACCCATTCAAACCTAGAGTACAGGTATGGAGGACACTTGTGTTTTATCACGTCGAACATTAGACAGGCGAGGTGGAGTTTCCGGCGTGATTTCATTTTTAATGCGTTATGTTTGTTCAAAAATGGTGTTACATGACTCCTTGGTGGAACACTGTAGCAAAATCGTGCGCAGGCATTCTGTACTCTTTGTATTAATCTCCCGGTGCGTGCCAAGAGCCTGGGGCCTATAACAGTATCTGCGTAGTTTAGTTTTGACAGAACCAAACTCTCCACCAACCGCTCACGCAGCTCCTCGCACAAGTAGGGTCGTATTTTATATAAAATTTTCAAACGGTAGAAGCAACTTCTTACACAATCAGAAGTAAACTGTTCAAACCTTAGACCTTCATCCATTACAAGGCCCAGGTTTCTCGCCTCACTTACTCTTTCTACATTTTGACCCTTTACATTAATGCTTACGGAAGTGCTCAGTGGAATTTTATCTAATAAGCCTGGGGTGCCAAAGATCATAAATTTGGTTTTGGCTGGGTTTAGTATTAAGGAATTTTTTTCCGACCATACAAATATACCCTCCAGATCTTTATTTATTTTAAGTAATCGTATCGAATACGCGTTCGGCTCTCTGATTGGTTGGTTATTTGGCGCCGGCCAATCAGAGTGCCGAACGCGCACTCGTTTCGAATACTTTAAACGTAAATGAAACTTGTACTAAGGCCTCTGCATCCAGCGACTCCCTTCGACGTTTACCAGTAGCCTGATTGGTTGCAGGTAGACATAATATCAGTCTGCGCTTTCCAATGAGTGACCTTCATTCAAAACCATTGTTAGGCGAAGGATTCACGCGATCTTCCCCCGTGCCCGCCGCGGTGGCGGAATGGAGGCAAAATTTTCAAAACTCACGAGACCGCAGTTTTCTGCGGTTGCGATTATTATCCGCAAACTTGGCGGTTGATTATCGCAAGACGGATGGGCGGTTTAACAGTCAGTTGAGGGCTAGACCGGCCTTCCCATTGCGATTGCCCACCAATCGATCGCTGAGCGCGCGGGTGCTAGTCGCCGCGGCGCGCCGCCGGTGCAGCGGGAACCGCAAACAACCGCAACCGCCGCGGACGTAAAACGCGCCGTGAAAATTGCTTTGATTTTTTACATAGATACATATCTGTATTCTACACCGTTGTCTAAAATCGTGCCGTGGGTCCTTAACCTTAGACAAACCTAACCTTCAAAGTCTCACCTCTAAAAGTGTAGCAATGGGGTTTTCTTTCGCTTGACAGAATCATCTGAGCGTCTTCTTGATTATGAGCGGATACTATGTAGTATGACGTGTCTAAACATTTGAATTCTGAAAGGTAGAAGATCTGAATTAAATTGTAGAAAAAATTACTGAAAGAAAGACGGACAGCAAATGAAGCGCTTGTGTGAGTGATCTTTGTATCTGCTTCATGGAAATGATACCAAAGAGAATAGAGTTTGTGACAGAATGACGTCTGATAGGAGTGTTTAAATATCAAGCTCCAGGTGTGTTGCTAGTGGTCGTCCCGCGAGACCTGGTCGCTGGTCGCACCGGCTACGACTGCCCGCCACTAACAGCTCGCCGCACCCCGGGCCTGCCCCGGCTTGAGAGTTTGCTGCTCGCCAGACTTGCCCGGCTAAACCGCGGCTCATAGCGGCGCAAACCACCGGCCTCGACGCCACATCGGGCCCCGCAAGGAGCCCGACTACTCAAACCCCTCGCCTGCTGTAGCAGACAGCGAATGAATCCGCCGAGACAGACATCGGCCTGGATCGTGCGTCCTCACGCCCCCAGCCGGGAAAGTTGAGCTGACCCCGTCGTCGTCTGGTGATCTTGATTTAAAACTTCGGTATGATGAGAAAAGACTATATTTAAATAGATACTGCTGTTAAGGGTCAACCGCTATGTACAAGGCGTCGTGTCGAGCGAGCGAGCGAATGAATGGTCGCCGATTGCAGCGGTCGCGAGCCACGTATGGTCTTGAGCCTGATGTAACATCAGGATACGGGGAGACTGGAGAAAGAAGACATATTGTGCCGACCACAAGAAGCTTTGGATAGGTCAGGAAATAGATTTAGACCCAATAAAAACATGGACAATACGATAGATAATACCTATTTATCTCACGATTGTATGAACCGATTTAGATGCGGCTTTTAGAAAAGTGTTTGTTATTGTGTTGCATCGTATTCGCTTCTAGATCGCTCACGCGGGACGAAGCCTAATACATACATACCTGACCATTTTTACCCAACCGTATAGATTATGGCAAAACCTTTTGTAAAAGATATGGTATCTTCGGCAGAGGAATGTCATGGTCTATTTATTGATTAACCAGATATTTAGGCTGCCTGTCCATTGACGCGGAGAGGGGCAGCGGAGCTAGCGAGTATTGCGGAATGGAGTTACGGACTGTTTCAGTCTATTGAGGCAGAGCGAGGCAGCGATGCGGATCCAGCGAGTATTGCTGAGCGGAGTAATGGAATGTCAAATTTCAGCGGTATACTATACTCTATCCCAATATGCATTACCCCCGCCCCGCTACCGAGACCGGTTCCCCGCCGCCGGCTCACTCGGCTGCCCCGCTCCGCCGTCTCGCACCGCTACCACGCGCCGCTTCCGAAAATGTATGAATTTTTCAACTAGATCGCAAATCCCTTTCCACTAAAGCGGAGCGGAGATTTCATGCAATCCTATTGGTTAATATTTCTTCGTTTCTCCGCTCCGCTGCCCCTCTCCGCGTCAATGGACAGGCACCCTACGATCAACGAACCAGGGCTCGTATACAGTCCAAAAGGTATTTTAGCTTGTGTTGACTTGATCTTAGCTTCAGACGTGTCCATTTTCTTATTCAGCTTCAGCAGAACCATTGACATTAGTGCCATATCCGTGGCAAATAAAAGTCTCTTCATATCTTTTATATGTGAATCAATGAATGAATATAATTTCTTTGAACCGATTTCCATTATTTCCCGTCGTTCAGCCTGGAGAGGAGAAGTAAAGCTTAAGTTTTTTTTTTTTGGAATCAGCGGCAAATATTCAGCGCTGTGATTCACAAGCGACGCTCAGCTAAAATGCCGTGACCCCCGTCTGGTACATTAATTTAAAACTTTCGACACGTATTTTTTCTTTACTCACAAAATTCAATACTTTCGACTATATATGTAATAATTTGAAATATCGTGTGACGTCACAGCGCGTCACCTTTTGTAGCACGTTATGACGTAACGACCTCCCACTCCTAAACTTAGCGCCAATTTATCTAAGTATTGCAACTACGAGAAAATAAAAAATACGTGTCTAATATTTTTTCATTATCTAACTGACGGACTAATTAGATTTTTATTTTTGATTCCCTGGAAACTACCCAATTATAGTAGGTCTATTGCTGAACACAGGCCTCCCCCAATGACATCCACACACAATGGCCTGCATTCAGCAATTTTAATCATGTCTTCTGTTCACCTTGCAGGTGGTCTCCATTCGTGAACCTTTCATCATCGGTCTTTAGTTTACCGAGGTAATACGTGTCCCTACTGCTACTTCAGCTTTAGAACCTATTTTGTAATAGGTTCTCCCAGTGTTTCCGCCCGCGTTCCCGTGGGATAACAAATAGCCTATGTGTTAATCCAAACCATAATCTACCCTGGTTCCAAATTTCATCCTGATCCCTTAAGCCATTTTAACGTTATTGAGTAACAAACATACACACAAACTATCGCTTTATTGATATTAGTTAGCCTATAAAAAGTACTTACCTGTCAAGAAAGTCCTGTTAGTTACACTATTTATAATTCAAAAACGGCTAAATCGATTTGGTTGAAAATTGGTGGGGAGGTAATTTAAAACCAGGAGACCGACATAGGTTTTTTTATGGCATAAGCCGGTAATAGAGCAGACGGATCACCTGATGGTAAGCAATCGGCGTCACCCATGGACACCTGGAACACTAGACGCGTTACAAGTGCGTTACCGGCCTTTTGGGGAATTAGGAGTTTGAGGATCGTTGGGGATTTAGGAATTGGGGAGATTGGGGAAGGGGAGGATAATTGGGCCTCCGGTAACCTCACTCACGCGACGAAACACAACGCAAGCGTTGTTTCACGTCGGTTTTCTGTGAGGCCGTGGTATCACTCCGGTCGAGCCGGCCCATTCGTGCCGGAGCATGGCTCTCCCACAAATTTTATTCAATATTTTTTTTTTACTTTTTATCGAAAATCACGAACGGGGACGGGAAAAAACGGGATTGTGTGTGCGTACGAAGTCACGGGCAGAATGTAGTAATGAACAATTACTGGGTTATGTGGTTCCTTCATGCGCCCGTTCATGTAGTTATAGTAATCCTGCAACTTCTCAAACTTCTCGTCTGCGTAGCTGTGTCGAGGGTCAATCTCTTTCGAGAGCGGCATGTTGTATGGTTTCTGCAAAATAAAAAATTATTAGGTACCAAAGTCGCAAGAATGAATTAGAAGTCCCGGGATTTATTATCCTTAGGGTTATTTTCTTTTTCGATCTCTTTGACTGGATTTTGGTGTTCTTACATCATTTTCATAAAACTGAACCCACAAAATAACTAAAGATTTGAATTGTGAATCTTTCTAAAAACTAGTAACTTATGAAGTTTCTTGCTCGTTCTTTTCCAGAGGAATTTAACACCTTGGAATGGGCAAAACCTTCACTTTTAAATTTTTTGTTGACGTTCAAAAGTGCCTTTCTGGTCTAATTGAAATAGTTAAATAATCTTTGACTTTGACCTTGACTTTCTGTATCGAGCGAAGCATTGCCGACTTTTTGTTTTGCCGTTTGTTTTTTGAGTTTCAAATTGCACCCTTTTTTCACAAAAAAGATTATTCTATGCTTACATTTCAATTATGATTGAATATACACAACAGTCGTCCAGTGACCTTTACCTTACCTCTTGAAGAGTAAAGATACTGTACCACATGCTGATTTCAATCATGAAAGCTTGCTTCAATTGAGCACTTGTCATTTAGTTGCATGTGTGTCAGAATGTTGCTCAAAATTAGCTCGTGTCAGGCATGTTAGCGAAACGACGGGCGTTCGACTTTTTTACATTTTAAACTGTCAAACACCAAGCGGTCACCGGTGACAGGGTAGACGACTAATTTTTATTTTAATGTCCGTCTGATAGATTATTTAAAAACATTAGACACGTATTTTTTCTTTTCTCACAGAAACGAATAGTTTCGAAAATATATTGATTTGAAATGTCGCGTGACGTCACTTCTCAGTACATTTTATACTAAGAAATGACGTTTTAGCCCCCACTCCTAAACTTTGATTCGTTTTATCTAAGTATTGTTTTATTATACGACAAAATAAAAAAATACGTGTCTAATATTTTTTCATTACCTAACTTACGGACTAATTATATTTTTAATTTTCATACCCTGTCATCATCCCCATTGTGTCTATAAATACGGTACTCGACGAGTTAAGCATGCTCAATAGAACGCATTTTATCATGATATGTATAGACTATGTGTAACAGTATGACTGCCTCATTGGCCGAGGGGTCGCAAGTGCGACTGCCGGGCAAGGGGTCTGGCGATTCCTGGGTCAGGCAAAGTATTACTGGGTTTTAAAAAAAAATCTCAGTAGTAGCACGGAGTCTGGAAATGTGCCCGGTATATGGCAATAGTCTCACCCCCTATTACATGGGACTCATAACATAAATAGTGAAAAGTGAGTGTTACTTCTATGTGCACTTCTGCCTACCCTTCGGGGATAAAAGGCGTGATGGTATGTTATGTTTTTCGGCTGACTGAGTAATCAGTCGTGGGTCGCGGAATAATGCTCGTGAATATGAGCCTTTAGCATAGCTTGAAACTAGTCGAGTTCCTCGTCAAATAATTACGTGAGTAAGCCGAAAAACATAATAACTACATAATTTAGTATGTCTCAGGAAAGTTTTAATGTAAATAAATATGTCGTTTGTTAGGTTGTAAAACAAATAACCATAAAATTAATTACTTACCGTCTCCACGGTAGGGAATGACAATCGAGCGAGCTGTGAACAAAAATAATACATAAGCATGTAATCTATATCTTTATATATACCTCTATAATTATTTTGTGAGTGTGTATGTCACTGAACTTTCCTCAAACGATTGGACCGATTTTGATGAACTTTTTTGTGTGTGTTCAAGGGGATCTGGGAATAGTTTAGATTCACAAATTAGCCCAGCAGATGGCGCTGCAGTCGATGTTTAGGTTATTTATCCTAAACAGCTGAACTAATTTGAATGAATTTTTGTTTATACATTCAAGTTGATATGCAGGACAACGTCTGTTGGGTCCGCTAGTATGTATATAAAAATGAAACCCGTTTCCCGTTATCACGCCATAACTTGAGAATTAGAGAATTATTTGGCTGTTGTTTTTTGTTGTGTTTGTTATTGCCAGGAGAAGGTTCTAATGATAGAAAACAAATCTGATAATAATCCTACGGGAATGGGAGAAAACGGGATTGCGCGTACGAAGTCGTGGCAGAAGTTAGTAGATAATAGACACAAATAATTTAATTATCATTATCATCGTCATCAACAGCTGGAAGACGTCCACTGCTGGACAAAGGCCTCCCCCTGAGTCCTCCACGTCGAACGACAACTAGCCACTTGCATCCACAAAATTTAATACAGAAGTAAAAAAAGGCTTTTTCGTTGGTCGAGTGGTCGCAAATGCGGCTGCCGGGCAAGGGATCTCGGGTTCGATTCCCTGGTCCGGCAATGTACAATTGGGTTTTAAAAAAATATTCTCAGTAGTAGCACGGAGTCTGGAATTGTGTACGGTATATGGCAATACACTCACCCCCTAATACATGGGACTCATAACATAAATAGTGAAAAGTGGGCGTTATACATTGTACAGTGGCATTAAGTGCCGTAATTAATTAAGTGCCGATAGAAAGGCGTGATGTTATGTTATTTTATGTAAGTGAAAAAAATACTTTACCAATTGAAATGAAGATACATCGTTGCTGGCACTTGTAATATGTAGTAACACTAGAATCTAGAAATAAAAGTCTCATTACGATTTTCATTGTTTTGGGATCATTAATTGTTTCTGGGTTTCGTTTTAGATAAGAGGGTAATCGAATAGACGTCCTGATATTAAATGGGTGATTGCGTACCTTCAATCAGGACCACCCATGCACACCTGCTACCCTAGAGGAGTTTTCAGCACGCCTCCAACCCAGCAATTAAGTTACTATTGAAATATGAACTTTAAATCGTATGTCGTATGATATATTTCATAATGTCAATACGAAAAGCCGACGGCGGGTGGTCAGTGCGCGGTTCACTCGAGTTGTGGTTTTTTTTTTTAAGGCTGCTGCGACTGCTCCCGCCTAAGTGAGGAGGGAAGGAGTGTCAGACTCTTACTGACTAAAAAACCACCCCGTTCCTTCTCCTGCACGTCGAGCCGGAGCCCCGGTTACCCGTTAGGTTCTCAGCGACTCCGAATCGGCATCGGCCCACTCGATTTGTAGTTGAGGTGCCCGCGTGCTTACGACACGCCGCCAGCAAGCCGACGAAGAGGTGATGGCAAGCTGCCGGCCAGGCGCCCTGGCCTTGACCTTTTCTCACACGGAAAAGGTTTGAGAATTAATCACCACGCTTGCTTAACGCAAGTTGGCGATTTAAAATTTACTTACAGAGCATAATTTTAGTAAAATTTTCTGGCTTTCCATTGAAGAAGTTGGACTGTCTACTGAAACGTCACGCACTCGACTGCGTAAGGCAATCGTTACCAAATTGATTGGTACAAATATAATTGGAGTATTTTACAATCTTGTTATTGTTTAATCGATTTATAACTTTACTAACTTACCAAGTTAATTGGTTTGGTTTATCAACCGACTTCAAAAAGTGTGGGAGAGCCATGCTTCGGCACGAATGGGCCGGCTCGACCGGAGTGATACCACGGCCTCACAGAAAACCGACGTGAAGCAACGCTTGCGTTGTGTTTTGTTAATTGAGTGAGGTTACCGGAGGCCCAATTACCCTCCTAATTCCCCAAAAGGCCAGTAACGCACTTGTACCGCCTCTGGTGTTCTAGGTGTCCATGGGCGACGCCGTTTGCTTACCATCAGGTGATCCGTCTGCTCGTTTACCGGCTTATTTATTTATTTATTTATTTATTTATTTATGGATTGGAAAACCAACAGCTACACATAGCAAACAAACAGATAACATAATAACACCAGAAAGCCAATTACAGGTTTTCACGAATAGACTTCACATTATTAAATAAAAAAAACACTCACAGTCCAAACAAATACATCGTTTACGGAAAGAAAATAAAAAAAAAACAACAAGAGCCTATATATACCAACAATAAAAAACATAAAAAAATAAACACACACCAACCATACTACCAACAATAACAAATTAATATTAAACCAAGTTACCCACTTAATTTTATATGAAATTAAAAAACTGTAGGGTGAGCATCCTTCGCACCGTAGAAGTCCGCGTTACAAACGGATCTATTGGATACTCCTTACACAGGTTGTTTAAGTCTCTGCTTGCACGCATAATAAAGGAATTCTGCCTATACCTCGTTGAGGAATTCCGAATTAAAAGTGGGGGATTGTAACGAATAGATCTGCATGGGACATTGAAAGAGAGTTTGAACAAGAGATCGGGACAGTCAATTTCATTTGAGATGATTTTTAGCAGTGTGGTACAATCCGCTATCCGACGGCGATTGGTAAGGGGCAGAATATGAAACTGCCTACAAAATTCCAGATATTTGTCTGAGCTATATGGAACATGAAGTTTGACGCAAAGAAATTTAATAAAACGCTGTTGAATTGCCTCCAAACGCTGGATGTAAGTACTGTAACAGGGATTCCATATTTGCGATCCATATTCTAAGTGGCTTCTTACATAAGTGCAGTACAAAATCTTGAGCGTTTTTGCCTGTTTGAAATCTTTAGAGACCCTCATAATAAAGCCAAGTGCTCTATATGCCTTACCAACTATCTCTTCAATATGGTCATCAAACAGGAGTTTACGGTCGTGGTAAACGCCCAAGTCCCTCACTACATCGCATCTGGGTACCACCTGCATCCTCAATCTATAAGTTGTTGGCAATGTGCTACGTTTACGACTATAAGTAATAACTGAACACTTCGCAGGATTCAGGTCCAGTTTGTTACGCTGACAATATTCATCTAGTCGATCCAAATCCGACTGAAGAGCCATCATGTCATTGAAGCACGAGACAGCTGAATAAATCTTCATGTCGTCAGCGAAACAGAGTAAATGAGAAGAATGGAAACAAGAATCGATGTCATGCACGTATAATATGAAGAGTAAGGGGCCCAACAAAGAGCCTTGTGGGACCCCGCTAGGAACGGGTACCCAACTAGATATATAATTATTGATAACAACGGCCTGAGTCCTGTATGCAAGATATGATGCGAACCATCGAAGCAAATCCCCGTGGATACCTGCAAGCCATAATTTAGATAGGAGAATTCTGTGATCTATTCGATCGAAACATTTCGAATAATCTGTATAGACTACATCGACCTGAGCTCCACCATCCATGCTTCGCGACACGAAATCGTTCAGTACAGCCAAATTAGTAACAGTCGAACGACCCCTCAAAAACCCGTGTTGGAAGGGACTGAAACAATTCCTAAGAGCCGCGTAGACCTGATCATATATCACCCTCTCAAATACTTTGCCCAAGATACATAACTTTGAGATAGGTCTATAGTTGGTGACTTCAGTTTTTGGACCTTTTTTATGCACGGGTGTAATATAGGCAGACTTCCAGACTTGGGGTACAGTACTTGTAGATAAAGATTTTGTAAACAATAGGGAGACTGGAAGAGCTATAGATTTAGCACACTTAATAAGAAATTTGGGTGATATGTTATCCGGCCCAGCGCCCTTGTGAGGGTCGAGGTTGGACAACAATCTCATAATTGAATCGACCTTAATTTCAATAGAATGAATGTCAGATGCAGTCGAGACGTCATGGTTACGAATTTGAGACACATGGGAGTCAATGTCCGGTTCTAGAAAGGTGGAACGAAAGTGGGTGGAGAATGCTTCACAGATAGCCATTGTGGAGGAAACCGTGGCGTCACCGTAAGTTAAATAGCCAGGTATAGTGCCAGACCTGGAGCGATGCTTGACAAAGCTCCAAAATCGCTTCGGATTTACTCTAATACCGGCTTCTGTACTAGCTATGTAAGCATTGTAACATTCACCTTCAAGTCTGGTGATCCTCTCGCGCAGATGCTTAAAGGTCACCTCATCCGCCAATCTGCCATATACCTTTAATTTGCGATGATATTTATATTTATCCTTTAAGAGTCTCTAAGTTGGGAAGAATACCAGATAGGGTAGGTATTGTTGTAAACCCGCCTCTGGGAACAAATTTATCTTGTAACTCCGATAAGGTATTATAAAAAAAGGTAAGTGAGTCACCAAGAGATTTACTTCCGAATTCACACACCCAGTCAATGGCCGCAATCTCTTCGTTAATAGATTCAAAATTACCTCTGTCAAATAAGTATTTAGTGTACGGTGACGATGCTAGACAAGTGTGACCGGATAAACTAGCGACGATGCTTAGTGCCGGGTGGTAGTCGTCTATCGGCACCAGGGGGTCCAAACATTCACCCACATATATGGTCTCATTGCATAAAACCAAATCCAACAGCTTACCGTGTTTATTCAATACTCCATTGTATTGGTTCAATGATAACACCTTCAATTCGTCCGTAAGGAGGTATTCGTCACTTGAACATATGTTGGTAGGTGAATAAAAGTCGTACGTCTTATGCCATGCTATACCACTTAAATTAAAATCCCCCACGATAAGAAATTTATCAGTTAGATTATTTAATACTACTCCATTTAACTTATTTAGGAAATTAAACAATTGAACAGAAAAGGAATGACCCCGGTTCTGATTACACAGGTACAGAACGCAAACGTACAATTTAAAATGCCTTTTAGTCCCTGGTTGACTAAAATTAATAGAAACCCACAGGTCCTCGGCCGAGGAATGAAGACCTAACTGCGGGATTGCACCAATACCCCTACGGACGGCTATCAAAACACCACCCCCACGCGTTTGGCCAGTGAGTTGAAAGTCGCGGTCACGACGCCACACCATATAATCCCCACTAAATAATTCACCATCCAAAACACCATCCGTCAACCACGTCTCCGTGAGAATTATAATGTCGAATGAGGAAAGACAAAGTCGACGATAGAATTCCTGAGTTTTAGTACGAAGACCACGAACGTTCTGGTAGTAAATGCACAAACTATTAACACTAAAGCAAGCCATTGGTATCAATAACATACACAAACTCATAATAAACAACAATGTTCCATTCAAAACAGCTGCAGCAGGGACCGGTTATACAAAACAAAAGAAATAATGAATCAATAATTAAATTATAATACGAAATGTAACAAAAAATTGGTAGTGGGTAATCATTAAAAAAGTGGACAAAGGTGCGACAAGGTAAATAGAACTCACCCAAAACTATGAGTGCAAGCGAGACAAACATGTGTTGGTATGTTCCCGTTAAGTATAGATCAGTGGAATAAGCAATGCAAACAGTTCGAGTAATTAAATTAAAGTCAGGTAGCGAAACTTCGCAGGGATGCTCAACCTTTTATACAAGATTAAAATTTTAGTCACGTGACAAGAATAAAAAATAAAAAATATATACGCAGTGATAAATAAATAGCAACCAGAAGCAGAGTGGTAACAAAAAAACATCCTATTATAGCAATGGATTAGTTTAATTTGTTTAAATCCCTCTCACTACTAATAATTATGACTGGGGACCCATCTTGCCTTCTAACATGAATTTTACTATGTTTAACCCAGACATATCTGAAATCCCTCTCCTTGGCCAGTAGTCTAGTTTTGTTTAACAGTTTCTTGGACCCAGAGTTAAGGTGGTCATTGACGAATATGCGATTCGAGGGCCCATCGAAACCCAGGTCCCGGGTAGATAAATCTCTGCACAACCGAGCAGCAGCGACGAAGTCCTCCTTAACATACCTGTTCAAGAAACCGACAATTATCGATTTCTCCTTGGAGTTGTATGTAGGTACCCGTGATATGTAGTTGATTTGAGTTCGAGGAAGTGCAAATTTCACCCCCACTAACCTTGTCCAAGATGGAGAAAAGATTTTCGTCCTTCCAGAGAGGAATACCCTTAATTTCTATATTGTTCAGTCTAGATCTCTGGTCGGAAGCAGTTTGTTCCGATTTGATGGTCTCGACATCAGACTGCAATGATTGAACCGAATCCTGGAGGCGCTCTAGAGTTACCATCTTCGTTCAAGTCCAGTCAACTAGTGGAGAAATCCTGCAGCTGCCCGCTGTTGAAGTCGTGGCTAATCTTTAGGCTGTTGAGCTCCTCCTCATGGTTTTAATGCTTTCCAAGAGACATGGTAGATTTATTAATTGAGCTTTAATGTCCCGAATCTCGTGAAGGACAGTTTCAATGGAGACAGGTTCCGGTGTGAGTGCTGGGGATGGAGATGGGGACGATATCCTGCACGCTGGACACTTCCACGTGGATCTTCTGTCAGAGCCCAATCTTCTCCAACCATTTTCGCTGATACCAGCACAGCCGAAGTCGAGGTATCCTTTGCATGCAGCACACTGCACACCATCCGAGAAACCAACATTGCAAAG